TTATAATTGTATATGAATAAACTTGGCATCAAAATGTAGTTAATAAATCAAATTTTAATATTATTTAAGTTCATAATTTTGTAAGGAAATATTTTTAAGATTCCTCAATCTCCCCTAGTATGAGAATTGTGGGATTTGGTCTCTAGATCATCCATCTTTTCCAATTTATTTATCACCCTCTAAGAAGTATGGAATTTAACATAATTAACTCATTATGATATAAATATTATTCAGGCAAAACATAATTTTAATAGCTTTCAATCTTCTTTAATGGCTGGAGACACCTTGAATGGGTAATGAAGAAAATCTTTAATATAAGTTTTCTTCATTACCCATTCAAGCCGTCTCCAGCCATCAATAGTCTCAAAGTGGGTTCCTCTTCATCAAATTTCAATTTTCTTTGTTTACGGAACCATAACCTAGAAAATCAGACCCACCTGTCACACCCACCTATCATATCCTCTCTTTCACAAATTGTTAATAGTTTTTTTGAGATTTTATATTATATTATTTACAATCAATATAAAGCCAGGATTTTAATTCATCACATGACATATTATATTACATTGTTTTCTGTAGAGAGAATTGCCTATTTCCTGGTTCAGCTTCAAATTTGTTCTCATGGGAATTAGATCAGCTAACTTAGCTGAATTTTTAAAGACTCTTCTCACATAATAAGGTAGCCAGAAAAATTATGATAGTTATAGGACATTGTTTGCTTTTTGCATGCTATTATTCTGTGTTCTTAGGTGCATCGTTTAACTAAGTAAAAAAATTATTTAGTTTACTAATACAAATAGTATAAAAAGTAAGGTTAAGTTACATCAATAGTTGACTGCAAAAATAAAGACGACTCAGGTACGTACTGTATTTCTTGTTTTTCATGTGTATTTTTACTTATTATTATAAAAGTAACCAAAATGTAAAAATCAGAAACTTAGTAAGTTAGATTAAGTAAGATAATGGAAAATAATAAAAATGCTTCACTAGGTATGCTCACAAGTAGCTTGTGCATTACATAATTTGATATGGTAATGTGAGTTAAACATTTGCAGAGTGGTTTATAACTTGTGTGATAGGATTATTAGTTAGACATGGTTCAAAGAGCAATAAAACAATAAAATTTAAATAGAAACAGATGTATATTGTTACGGGTTTTAAGCTATTCAGGATAAACAAATGTAGTTTCTTATTACAATTTGCAGTCATTCTAGAAAGAAAAAAGGGTAATATAGATTTTTTTTATATTTTTTTTTGGTAGTTATGAGATCAGTCAAAGTGACTGACCCAGTACAGAGTTAGGGTAGAGAAAATAACAGATAAAATATAAAGTTCTACTGAAAGAACGTTTGATACTTATTTAAGATGATTTTAGAGATTATGCAAATAAAATTTGAAAATTTTCAGATGAAGAAAAGCATTTTTAATCTTAACAGGAAAATCACTTTGTAGTTGGAGCAGTCAGCACTCTGACTTCATATATTAAGGGTGCATTATTAGTAAAAATACTGAATTAAAAATTCATATTTTTATTTTGTAGAAAAGACTTAATGTTTTCTGAAAGCTTGAAACCTTTTGAGGAAAATACACAAAAACCATTAAAAGTTATAGTATGGAAACTCTGATGGTCACTTTAGGGTCATGTGGTCAGTGTAATCCATCGAGTCAGTAGCAAAAGAGTTAACTATGTGAAAATAAGTTACACAGTTTTAAATACAAAGTTCATAACAATATCAAGAAAGACTAATAAACATTAATACTACTATTATTAGAATCAATGAAAAACTCCAAATAGCTGACATTCAAAATGTTAAGACTATAAAAAATTACACAAGAGGTATAGTTTGATGAATAACATTCACAACTACTGAATGAGTAATACTCTGATATGAGCACAGTAACAAATTGGCTCAAAAGTGTGGTTAGTGCATGTCTTGAGTTTGAATGCCACTGTGTTTTATAAATGATATACTTAAGTTACAAACTGGAGGTGTGAACTTGATTATGTCCAAATCTCTATCACAGTAAACTCAAAAAGAACAAAAATCATCTACAGTAATAAAGAGTTATGGACACTGTAACCTTAGGTACATACTATATTTCTCAAATTAAGTTCCACTGAAGCTTTCAGAATTTTTATAGTCATTGAATCCCCAAGTCTCAATATATTGAATCTTAATCAATATGTGTTTCATGTATATGAGAAGTATATGGATTTTTCTGATACTTTATCAAGAGTAAATAGTTTAAAAAAGTACTCCCCCCAAGAAAAAACATCAAGCTCATATGGGTAACTTAATGAACAAAGAGATAGAACAATTGGCCCCAACAAATTTACATAATAGGATTTTCTACAGAAACAAATTTATCAATCATATTGTTACGACAGCGGAAGTCACGTGATGCTGGTAACACGTGATGAGTTTCTAGAAGGATCGGGGAACATCACGAATAATCCAGTATTTGCTAGATGCCCTCTATTCTTGTATATAAGCGCGCCAGATAAATCGAGAAAATTAATCGGAACTTGAATTGCAGACAGGCAGAGATAGAGACGAACAATTGAGTCAAGCGCGGTAGTGACTGTAAGTAAAGTACGTGAATCGTTGTGAATTATAGCGTGTGTTTAAGTTAAAGTGACTGTGGAAATTAAGTGTATTGCAAAGTTGTATTGAGAAAGAATAAACTAGTTTTATTTAAGAAAGGACTAGTATCGCTGAAGTTTTTCAGAAAGAATTTCTACGGAAAATTAACAAAAGACCAGAGATGTAACAATGTATAAAGATTAAGTACAAATATATCTACAAAATACTTGCAATACCATTAACATATTAAGTAATCATCACTTTTATTGTAAAGTTATGTAAGTAAACTAACTAACTTCTTGATTTCCAGTTACAAATTCATATTAGTGAAATTTTGAACAATTTGAATAACAAGTGCAGTCAAATGTGAACAGTAATCTAATTTACCAGATTTATAGGTAGTTATGAAATTGGTTTATAATTACACACTGCTTTTCTTAGCATACTATGTCCAATTTTATAGTCTTGTTCCTGAAACATTTGAAAGTAAATTTGGCCAAAATACTTGTTAACTGTCTTTACATGACTGTAAACAACTATTTAATATTGCATGATAAAATTCTTTACATTAAATAATTCTTATGTATATAAATTAAAGTCCAACATGAGAACACAATTTTGTTTTAAGAATGTGATACCTAAAGACAAAAGAATCAAGTTTACTGAAGGATTATGTAAAAAAAACTTTTCTTAACAAAATGCATGGATGATAATTAGTTAATGAAACTGGTAGAATTAGATAAAAAATTAGTAACTTAATTTAAAGAAGAAGTTTAACCAAACAAATTAATAATATTGATCATTTAACAAACTGGGATTCAACTTATCCAGATAAATAAATTATTAACTTAAGGAAGAAGTGAGAATCATGTTTATTATACAATTATGTAAGGAAACTTAATTTATTACCCAGGCAAAAGGATCAAGTTTATTTTAGTACTATGTGGAAAAACTATTTTTTTTTAGTTAAATATAAGTTTAAAAACAAAAACTGATAACAGTGCCAACATAACAAGTTGGAATTATGTTTTGCTTCAAAAACTGAAACTATCACTCTTCTAAGAAATAGGAATCAAGTCTATTGTAGAGAAGCTAGTTATTAAATTAAGAATGAATACAGCTATAAAACTAAAATATTATCCACTTACTTGTTAAGTTTATCTATAAAAAAAGTGACCATATCACTCTCTTAACAAGGTAGCATACATTTACTGTAGTATTACATAGAGAAAGAAACTGGGTTGCCAATAATTGTACGATTATGTAGCAAAATTCATTTACTATCTATACGTGATGATAGTTTAAGTACAAAAACTGACAAGGATATTGTAGGAATATGCGGAAAACTAATTCATTAAAATGAAAATAAAATATATATCTACAAAGCCAATATATCTCACCTAACAATAGTGATTACAAGCATAAATGAGTTACCAAATTAACAAAAGGATGAAGCTGAAGTTCAAAAACTTATTAAAGCATTCACCTAACAAGTTGGGATCAAATGTATGATTATGTGGAGACAATATATTTCCTAATATAAAGACGTAATTCATCTAATAAAAAAATGTGTATCTAACATGCTAGGATTAAATGTTTAGAACATTACATGAACAAATCTAGTTAAATAACTTAAGAATGGAGTTTATCTACAAAAACCTAATTATATTACTCCCTTAGCAAGTTGTGATACATTGTGTTCTATGTAAAAGTTGGGTACATAGTTAATAAAAAATAAAGATGAAATTTGTCTACAACAAACTAATCTTATCACTAAACTAACAAATTGGGATGATTATGTAGAAAAAAAATCTTGTAAACTTCACAATCACTTAAGACTCTAGGATCAAATGTATTGTAGGATTATGTTGGAAACTAAATTATAAACTTACCATAATGGTGAAGTTTATTTTTTGAACAGCATAAAGAATTAAGAAATTTATGACTCTCTCAACGTAATGAAACATTTTGTTATTTAATTAATGTCATGTATGAATGGATTAAAGTGATGCAGTGTTCCTATCTACTACTGAATGAAACAACATCCAAAGGAAGGGGATTGAAGTAATCTTTGCGGAAGTTTAGATTGAAAATTTGGCTATATCACTTGCCTAACAAGTTGGTATCAAGTTTATTATATGATTATGTACAGAAATTAATTGAATAGAAAACTAGGATAGACAACATTAAATGCTTCCCTGATCATCTCTCAGTTAACAGAACAAGCAAGGTTTAAAAAGTTAGACCTCCCTTCAATGCTTGAAAGAAGAAAAAGAAGATAAAGTACAAAAAAGGGTGAAGTTTAGGTCTAAAAATTTATATTACTTACCTAATGAGTTGTGACCCAATTATTGTAAAAATTATCATTAATTTAAAACATAAGGCTTAATTACAAAAACTGACAATTCTACTCACCTAGCAAGTTGGGATCAAGTTTATTATATGCAGAGTGATGAAGAAGCTCCTTTAGAAAATACATTATATACAGAAAGACATTTCTGTGGACCTGAGGAAGCTGGAAGATAACCTGAAAAGAACATACTAAGTCTGCAACAAAGTTCTAAATATAACCAAAAGACATTTTCTTCTGATTAAACTCTCCTTTACAAAATCAATAACCTCATTATCTCTTTCTTTCTTAGTTACCAACTTATTCTCTTTACTTATGTTTGTCTATATAATTTTAACTTCTCTGTCTAACCTGTACCTGTCTGTATATCTATATTCCTGTCTTTCTACCACCCTATATAACCTGAAATTATATATTCACATATTTTTCTACTTCCCAACCTCCCTATCTAATGTGTACCTTTCTATGTATTTACCATGATTCCACCTTCTTATTTAACTTGCAACTGTCTTTCTATCTCCTTATTTAATCTGAACTTGTTTATCTTAATACCTCTGTCTATTTATTTCCCTATCTAACTGTACCTGATAGTATATTCTAATAAATTAAATATGAAAGTGAAGAAGAATGTAGAATAATACATCAAACACACACACACACACTGTTATATCCAGCGCTGATGAGGCCCTTTATCCAATACCAGACAGACCTCATAACAGGCCACCTGGGATATAGTAGTGATTGAAACACTTTTCATATTATCAAATGGCATGAACAACAGCTGTTAAGGTGAAAACTAGATTAAGTTGGTGTTGTATAATTTTTATATCTATGGATAGTTAACTATAAGGAATGGAAAGGTTTCAAACAAACTTTAAAACAATAACAAGAAAGACTACTTGTAAAGATTAATATTATTATTATTACAATCAATGAAAAATTCTAGACCTCAGTATCTGAAACTCTAGCTGTTAAGACTATACAAAAATACACAACTTGTGTGAAATATAGTCTATAAAACTTTTGATGCATCAAAAGGATCCATAATAAGCAGCTCAGCTACAAACTCTGATATAAGCACAATAACAGACTGGCTCAAAAGTGTGATTAATGCATATCTTGAGTTTGAATGCTACTGTGTTTTATACACAAAATAATTAATTTACAAACTGGTGGTATGCACATGACTATGTCCAAATCTATCACAGTCAACTCAAACAATACGAATAGTCTAAAGTAGTAAAGGTTTATGGACACTGTAACATTAGGTACATATTATATTTCTTAAATTAAATTCCATTCAAGTTTCCAGAGTTTTACAAACATCAAATCTTCAGGTCTAAATATGTTAAATCTTACTCTGAACACATTTCATATATATGATAAATTAATAGATTTTTCTGATACTTTATCAAAATCAAACAGTTTAAAAGTACTCCCCCACCCCCCCCAAAAAACACCGTATTCCTATAGGTAGTGTAATGAACAGAGGAATAAACTAATTGGCCCCAACAATGACTAAGTATATTATTTTCACTAAAACAATACCCAGATGTGATCAGCTTGTTGAATAAAAAATCACCATCTTTTTGGTGCTTAACTAGTAAACTGGGCTACAACAAAGTGATTTTATCATAATATTTCCTTAAAAAATTGTAACACATCAAAATGATTGATATTTAATAGGGGAAGTAATAGGAACAAATTTTACAAGAAACAGAGTCCATTAACCCTATCACCACGAGTATCCTTAACTGCGCATGACACAAAGTTTTAATGTCTTACATTCAAAATTTTA